TTTAGGATATATTTCACGAAATTTTAAATTGAATATAAATCTTAAAAGTTACATGTCAATATTCACAAAGAATTACCTGAACATACCTTGAATCTATTTCCAGGAAGAAAAACTCCTACCCCATCTATTCTTGGCTTCCCCCCATATGGCTTAACACCTAGTCCTACAATGTTTTTGTTAGCACATGTATTCCACGCAACAATAATTGAATTAGTTGAAGGGCTTCTTTTCCTTGAATTATTTCTTGGTTCGACGAAGTCTTGATTTTCCCTTTCTTTACGCTTCCATTTCTCGCTAAACACACTAGAATTACAAACAATTAATGCCTCCCATCCATTCTATTTAGTTGAATTTTCTTTTTGCGTATGTTAAGGTGTCTCTAGGAATATATGTACATATGGGGTCATGCTTGATTATTATTATTATTTTAATAGCAATTAGTGAATATCATAGGTCAATCTCCATCAAAAAAGAATATCATAGCTCAATCATATTAAAGTCTATTTCTTTGATTTAGTTAAATTTTAATTTGGTTATTTTTTATAACAAAGAATTTTTTTTCTTTTTAAATCTTAATTTATATAATAAGAGCTAATTTTTTTTCATTTTTAATTCATTCACTTACATATTATACAAATCAAACTCAAAATATTTTACTTATTATTACTGAACTATATAAGTTACTAATGAAATTTTCTCATCATTCGTCTCTCGAAAAATGGGCAAACTCATCATAAGATGTTCAGAGAATTCCTTACCAACTGGGTTACCAGTCCTTCAAAATGTGCAGGAAATTGTGTGGTTATTTTCTTGATGTGGTGGATATCAAATCCAAACCACCCAAGCGCGGAAATACGAAACAATAAGCCCAGAGTATTAATTTCTCCTAGACAAACTATTCCACTATAGTTTCCAACAGGGCATTAAAGTCTGAACAGAAGACAACCTAGACTTTTTTCACCCTTGTTTCAATCGTTTCACGGATACAATACAGGTAAAAACACGTTGATATTTTATAAGTTCGATGAAAACTACATCTAGCAATTCGCAAATGGATAATATTTTTCCTTGATGCTCTGCCCTAGGCTCACCCAAGTGGCTTTGCAAAATCTTTCAGCGACTCCCCGTTTCTTTGGATTTGCATTGATTACTATATTTTTTCTTTGTACAGTGGCAGCGGTACCAGCTACCGATGTTGTCCCCGAGGCTCACCCTCAAATTCCCCTGCTCCGATTGCCTATAAAGTCGACCAAGCCACTACCTATGTTGTCGCCGGAGGCTCACCCTCCAGTCCGCCCGCTGTACCACCTGTCTACCTCCCACCCCCCAGAGACCCACTGAAACCCTCACCTTCCCCTGTACCAACACTGCAACCGCTCCAAGCTCTACTTTTGCAGACTCTCCAGAAGAAGAATGAACCTGATAGGATTAGTAGTGTGGATGGTTCTTGCAGAATGTGCTCTAATTTTTGTCATAGGTTTAACTTTGTTTATTTTTCGGAGAAAGAGGACAAGAGATGAACTGGTTGCCTTTGATTTGTCCTTCACTGATGAATTTGGGAATGTTATGGGACCTAGAAAGTTCTCTTATGATGAATTAGCTAAAGCAACAAAGAATTTTGCAGATGAGGAGAAACTTGGCGAGGGAGGGTTTGGAGCAGTTTACAAAGGTTTTTTGAGGGATTCCGGTACAAATGTAGCTGTTAAGAGGGTATCAAGGCGATCAAAACAAGGAATCAAGGAGTATGAATCAGAAGTGAAGATTATTAGTCGATTGAGGCATAAGAATTTAGTGAAGCTTATTGGTTGGTGCCATGAAAAGGAACTTTTACTAGCTTATGAGTTCATGCCCAATGGCAGCTTGGATTCCCATATCTTCAAGGGAAGGAGCTTGTTACAGTGGAACCTTCGCTACAAAATTGTGCAAGGCTTGGCATCAGCTCTCTTGTATCTTCATGAAGAAGGTGATTTTTGTGTGCTACATAGGGATATTAAAACAAGCAATATTATGTTAGATGTTGCTTTCAATGCCAAGCTTGGTGATTTCGGTTTAGCTAGGTAGGCTGACCATGAAAAAGGGTCACGAACAACTTTGTTGGCCGGGACCATGGGTTACATGGCTCCTGAGTGTCATAGAACAGGCAAGGCAAGTGAGGAATCAGATATCTGATATCTACAGTTTTGGAGTTGTAGCACTTGAAATTGCATGTGGAAGAAGATCCATAGAACCTCGATATGAAGAGGATCGGGCCTCATTGGTGGCTTGGGTGTGGCAAGCTTATGGGAACCAAAGACTTCTTGATGTGGTAGACGATCAACTTTCTGAAGCTTTTGATGTGAAAGAGATAGAATGTTTGTTGATTACTGGCTTATGGTGTGTGCATCCTGTTCCTAGTATGAGACCATCAATCAAGCAAGCAATACAAGCGCTTAATTTTGAGGCGACGCTACCAAATCTTCCAAGAGAGATGCCTATTCCTAAGTATGATATTGCTAATACCCCAATCATCATAACAAGTGAGCCATGTTTATCCAACATAAGCATTACTGTTCCTCGCTAATTTTCGTACTATGCTAGGAACAAAATTGATTTGCTAATAAACTAGAGTGTTATAGTTTGGAATTAAATATATTGTATCTTCTCACTTTGATTTTCGTATGATAAGCTAGTGCATTTCCAATGCCTAATTGTCCTTCATTACCAATTCTTTTCTTATAGAGGAGTTGTTTATGCTCATGTATCACATTATTCTATGAGGTTGAACATCATTCTTTAGTCATTGGTTTGGCTGAATCCAAACAGGGGACTCTGTCTCTCTTAATAAAAATAGTGTTCTTTTGCTGAGGAGAAAAAAAGAAAAAAAATAAAAAACTGGGAACTCTATTAATTGTAATATCCACCCAAGCTGATGATATGTTGCCCTTTTTTCATGTCAAATTTACATAAACATTATCTGTATTAGGGAAAACCTCAATGCTACAACCAAAATATTTTTGTATATAATGTTTTGTGTAATATAACTTGATATCAATGACTAGATGCATATTGATTCATACTTTTTTTGTTTGTTATGTCAATTCACACTCTCTAAATAAAATGAGAAAACCATAAAGTCCTTTGCAAATTATGGTAGAAAAACATTATGTCTATCTTTTCTTAGGAAATTAGGCGCAATTTTTCCTGGAGGCAGTGGCTGAGCAACGTTGAGGCCAGGGACCAGCACCCTGCTTTGGAGAAAAAATTTACATAAAAGTAATTTTGGTCTCCACAACCAGAACTCCATCTCCTTCCAATACAAACGAACGGGGGAGTTTGTTATTAACTATATATTATGAAACTATTGCACTTTGTAATTAAATGTAAACTGATGTGAGTACAATAGTCATGGCTTGTATGTACTGCGCCTGGTCAAGGGCTGTGACCTTTTAAAGTTTGCAGTTTTCTTTTTTTCTTTTTTCTTTTTTTTTTCTTTTTTTTTTTTGAGTTGCATGATAAAATATAATTCTCTTCAATCTCATTAATTACCTCACTCTTATGCTTATAACTCAAATTTATAATCTCCTACTCCATTTAGAGGAGAAAGAACTATTAGGTCACTTAGATTGTTAGCAAAATTTGCAATTAAAATGTGTCTTAGTCAACTTTAATTAAATTAGTTTATTTCTTGGTTTGCTTAAGTTTTTGATAGAGAACCATTCATCCAAAAGGCTTGATTTCTCATTTCTTTACCCTTGATTTCCCTAAACATAAGCTAGATTTACGATCAAGGCCTCTCATCCATTCTGTTCAGTTGAATTTCCTTTTTGCGTATGCTAAGGGGAGTCTAGGGAAACAACTATATATGGGGTCATCCTTGAATTATTATTTTTATGATTTTCTTAATGTAGTAGTGGGGTATCAAACCTTCAATTAACACCCCACACCCCACGAAACGGTTAGGTGTTGAATTTTATGAACCTAAAGTCTATGTCTTTCTCCTAATTAATAAGACTATTCCAGCAGTGTCCATTTTTGGTCTGTCGAAAACGACCTTGACTCTTGTTTATCTTTGCTTTCAACCATTTCATGACCAAAAAATCGCCTTGATACGGTAAGAACTATCATTCAAAAAACTGAGCTAATATTAATTAGCGGTTTGCAAATGGATGGTATTTTTATTTTTCTTTACCCATTCTTTTCTCGCTTAACATACGCCAGAATTACAAACGAAAGGCTAAAGAAGGGGAAAGGCAATCCTTTTGCAGACTTGTAAACCTCAGTTAGGATGATGAATGGTTCTCTGAAACCAAGTAATAAATGAATGAAAAGAATCCTTTGAGACATGAAAGTTGGAAATAATTTAATTACAGTTGTGTGGAGTCTCCTTACAATTAGAAAATTAAACCTCTAAAATTCTCTTTAAAAATACCCAAGAATAATTTTTTAAAGCTCAAATTTTACTTAACTTCACTTAAGCCGAATTACCCAACATACGAACAACCCAGCAAACAAATCTCTAAGCCCACAATCAACTCCACCTTTTGCTCCACAATTTTAACCGCCGCAACCGCCGTACACTGCTCTAAAATCCTCGACCGCCCAGGCGCCCACTAAACCTCCCATTTCTTATTTATTTAATTAATAATCCCTAAAGAAATCCCTATCGCAAGTTCTTGTTTGCGCGAGCAATTCCCAGTTTCTAGTTTCCAAATCTCTATCTGCAGTTCTGCATTTGTGCCAGCAATCCACCGTTAGGGTTGACGGTTAAAGCCAAAACTTCCTGTTAACCTCCTTTTTCGAACTTCAATCTAACGACCCAATCTGCCAATCCAATCACAACTATTTGGTTGAGCACTTCCCACAACTTCCTTTACAAACTGATCAAAATTCCCTGCAACCTCCTACTCAACAAGCTCAGACGGTTCGACTCCACTCCAGCCCTCATGCAACATGGGTGTTTTCTCAATCCTTTATAAATACTCTTCTTCTTCCTTTGCAAAAATCTTTTACATTTTTCTGCATTTGACACATGGTAGGATTCGGTTAAGGCTTTCATGCATTTGGAGTTCTATTACTCCTCTGAGACTGGAGCATGAGGGTGGATTGGACCCAGTTGGAATCGATGAGAATGTAAGCAAACTAGAAAACTAAACCACATATTGCTTACTTCTTTACTGAGTTTGTTTGAAATTTATTTTTTTCGCAGGGAGAATCCATGTTGTTAAGGAGAAGAAACATGCTCAGCAGTTCAGAAACCTACTGCAAGAGGGTCGTATCGTATTTATACCATCTCCAATTTCAGCTGTGTTACGGTTGCGAATAATGGGCCCGTGGGAAGATTAGAGAAAATCAGATTCAATGGAGGCAGCCAAGTTGTTGAGGAAGTAGAAGAAGGCACCGTTGCTATAAAGTGCCGTGTTTTTGAGTTTCAATCTCATGCTTAAGCTAGAAATCAGTTGAACAAGGATGTCATTTTAACTGTTAAGAAGCACCTTAAATTCCTAATTAAATAATTGGTTTAATTAGATAACATTACAAACAATTCTTTTCTACTTTGAGATTTAATAGGAGTTGTGTGTAAAGTTGAAAATCCTAAAAGAGGAAACATGAGGGATGGTGATGGAAAAGATAAAGTTCTACACCAAGAACTTGGGGTATGAAATCCTAACACCAGTTACATAAACAGTTTTTTTTTTTTTTTTTTTTTTTTGTTTAATTGAAATTCCTATTGTGTCAATTGAAATTCCTACTGTGTCTTTTGAAATTTCAATTTCCAATTACCCTTTAAGATAATTGCAGCCATCAGTTCAGGAATTTTAATGTGCTGGAACAAGAGAAATTGCTGTCATAGTCTTAACTTCACTGAGTATCAGACCGTTCAATGGTTGGTATATTTAATTTATGAAATGGAGTTTCCCCACATCCTGCTATATGTTTGCTAAAATTAGAGTCAAAGTTATTTGTCTCATAAAATTATAGTATGAGATTAACTGGAATTATGTTGTTTATCTCCTATTTTTGGTTTAATATATACTAATAGTGATTGCTTGCATTGGTCTGTGTTAATTCTATTTTTTACTAGACATAATTAACTGACCTATGACTTTAGAATTGTTTTTATTAGCTCTTTAATCAAACTATTTCTACTTAATTTTACTACCATCTGTGATAGCCTTTTCTGTTATTATGTCTGCTAGCCTCTTTTTCTTTTGCTGTCTTGCCTTTCAGTTTAGGCTTTTATGTGAAATGTTCATTCTTTTTGCAAATGCCTGATTGCCATCAAGCTGGATTTGCTCTCTATAAGCCGATGGTTGAAGCCTTGAATTGAAGAATACCTGGTGAAAGTTTACTCTAAACCAAAATTTTCATCCCTTCACATCTCAACTTCTCAGCCAGAGTCTAATGGCTTTGAGTCTGTTTAATATGTTATCTTTGGATAAAGAAACAGAAATTAGGTGACTTCTAAAATATATATTTTTTTATCTTATATATGTTTGATTAATTTCATCAAAAGAAACTAATTAATTTATCTTAATGAATTTTTTTGTGCAGGTAGTTATACATGTTTTTCATAAAGCTGAGAGATGATATCATAGAATAATTAGCAGGTATTAAATTTCAAATCTTTACGTTAAGATTTTAATTTCTCAAATACTTTGCATAATTTAGTTGCTACTAGGAACCATTTTCTATTCTTTCTTTCTTTTTTTTTCTTTTTTTTTTTTTTACATAACAATTTAGCTCTTCCCTATTTTCCTTCCTTGCAATATGATATACCAAGCAAAACAGGGAAAATGATAGGCCATTAATGTTGCAATTTTCTAATTTATTTAACTGATTTGTTGTCTGTAAGAAAATTTGCTAAAGTGATCAGATATTTCTTTTGGATATGGAAAGGAGAACTTGATAAGCTATGTTCGTTGTATTATATTTCTTCCTTGATTCTTCTTTTTCAGCCTTTTTTTTTTTTTTTACAAGATTTCTCTTTTGACTTTCCTAGTTTCCTTATTTTGAGGCGTGTATACAATTTATTCTGTTTTTATCTTTATATTTAAGAGATCCATCATTGCAACAATTTTGAAAACTTAGATTTTGTTGTTGCAAAGTCTTACCTTATTTTCTCAGTACTTATCAATTAATATTTTTTCTTTTTCTTCTAGTTATATTCATATAAGTCAACTGCTTATTTTATTTAACTATATTTTTTCTTATTGATTCAAGGCCACTTATTCATGAAATTCTTTCATTTTTGGATTTCTATTAAAAAAAAATTGTCATTTGCCTAAGTTAAAATTGAAGTTTCTTGATTATTGAGTAGTAGGTTTATATTACCATGGGGCTAATAAAGATAATGTTATGACTGAGGTTATGATAAATAAGGGGTCTATGTTCCACTATATTGGCTTTGGTGAAGTCTGAATGCAAGACAGTAGAGTTACATCTTGAAAGTTAAAACTGGTGAAAGTAATATTGGGTGACAGTACCACTGTATATGGTGTGTCTAACTTGGGAGGAACCAGAGATACCACCTACGGGAGCAAAAGAACTATTTTTTCTGATTTTGGAAATTAATTGATTTTAAATTTAGTCATAATGCCTTATAATGGTTGATAGCAACCTAGGAACATTATGTATATGGTAAAGATTTAGACTCTTGGAATACCTATTGAAATTTGTATGAACATTAAAGTCTGGGATTTGGACCATTAGTTTAATAAACCTTGGCAATTCTAGAGAAAAGAAAACAGTTCTATCATATTCATTTGCTCTTTCACATTGACACACTGGTTACTTCATGTTGTTACCAAAGTTTTAAATTTGAAATTTTGTAAAGTAGTGTAGCTAGTGAGAAATTCATTATCAAGAACCCAGTTCTTAGAGACTGTTATCAGAAGGTAATTCTTGAACCCCATTTGAATATTATCCTAACTTTAAGTTAATAGTTGTTACTGATTTAGTTTTGAAGAATGGAGTTATCTTAATTGATTGAGATTGGGTTTAAGAAATCTGTTAATGAAATATAGAAAAGTTAATTTAGAGGAAATTAGGTACTTTTGTGTTAAACATTCTGCATAAATTTGGTTAAATAATCATTGGCTTTTACAAATTTAAAGAGAATGGAGTTGTAACACAAGTGTCTTCTACTGACGAGTTAGTAGCTTGGGGGCATGACTCAAGTGGCTGAGTGGTGGATTGGTATATAGCTGGCATATACTTGATAGTTTTGGTAGAAGATATCTAGTTACCACTCAATTAATTCAACAACAAATTCTACAGAAAAAGAGGGTAAGATTATATGGCTTTTTGATGTATCAGGACTAGTGTTTTTAATGACTAGCTATTACAATCATTTTAGGATCAAGCCTTCACATGTGAGTTGGCATGGTATTTTTATCTGGTCTAGTAGTAATTTTCTACACCATGGCCTCAGTACAAGGTCTTCCTAGCTTCCTAAGGTACTCTTTTGGACATTTAATGTTCTTTTTGTGGAATAGCAGAGAACTGCAAGCATTTGTTTTTGGGCTATCAATTTTTAAAGTGTGTATCAGAAGACGTGATTGCAAGCCTTAGCATTTTCAAGGATCCAAAAGTGTGCCATAGGGATTGGATATGGGTGGAGAACCATTGTAAATGGAGGTCATTGCTCTTAATTTACTATTTGTGCTAGGAATGGAATTCAAGGCTCTTTCTTAATAAGAGCAATAGTATGCAGTATGTGCACAAGAATATTACAAATGTAACACAGTTGAGAAGTTTTTCAAGTGTAATAGTATCCCTTGCCATTCCCTAGTGTAGATATAAAGATTGAGTATTCATGCAATGGAAAATGATTGCCGGTTTCAAAAAAAGAAAAAAAAAAGTTTCATCCATATTATCTTTATTAAAGATTTGAAACCAAAACAAACTTTACCTATCTAAATGAAATGGCAGTAAGAAGATTAAATATATATATATATATATATGAGAAGATGACACTTGGAAGCTTTGCCTCTCATTTGTTGTATAACATGGAGCATTTGTAATAAGTGCATAACTAAAGGCAAAGAAATATTTCTTAAAGACTAAAAAGAAATTTAATTACATTTTTTTTTTATTAAAGTAATGTTTTGTGTAGTTTAAATTACAACTAATTGTACAAAACTAATAATTAATGGGCGAAAGGCCAAATAAAATCTTTGATAGAGATGGCTCGGCCATCCTCTCCTACCAGTAATTGCTTTGTTGCAATCTAAACATACTTTAGAGTTCAAATTATAAAAGGGTACTCGAAATTTATATCTCATTCATTGTATTTCATTGATAAATAGCACAGTTTTGTCTAGCCCTCTTGTGCGCTTTTGGCAAATAGAGGTTGAAACGTAAAATCAGAATGCGATACCTTGCTTTCATCTATTCCTTTTTTTGAGGATCCAGGGGTTGGAATTCGAAGGCAGGTTTCAACACCTCCTTAACCTTTGACTTCAGGCACGTTGCTCATTTGCCATCAAACATCAAAATTTAACCCTTAATCCCTCACCTTGATAACTCTTTGCATTTAAGTCCCTTTTTTTCTAATTCTCTCCATTTAATCATCAAACCTTCAATCATTAAAATCTACACAATTAATAGAAGAAATTATTTATTGAAAATATTACTTTTAAGCTTATAACTTTACAAATGTCAATTGTCAAGTACATTTTAAATATACATTTTCAAACTTTCATCAATTATAAATTATTATTAGTTAATTTTAGTTAGATTTTTTACCCTTGACCCCTCAATTTTAGTTAGATTTTTTACCCTTGACCCCTCAATTTTAGTTAGATTTCTTACCCTTGACCCCTCAATTTCATTGATAGATTCATCGTGTTCAAGTATGTCAATGAGAAGGAAAGGAAATTTATATTGGAAGAACTCAAACTTTAAGATTAAATTTGATATTAAACTCAATGATGCAATGTAGATTTCTTTTTATTGACAATTAATAAAGCAAGATTTGAATGCACTTGATTTTTCGGGTCAACTAGTACCTTACTAACTTGAGGTGCATCCCCCATCCCCCATAGACGGATTTCGAGCTTACTCCTTGACAACTTATTCAAAAAAATAAAATAAAATAAAGCAAGATTTGAATTAAATGTAATAATAGTAAGATCGGTTAAAAGATTGAATATGAATTATCTCTTATTGTACAATTTTAAATTAAAAATAATATAAAATGACATCATATTCCTTTTCTTTCTCTCTCTCTCTCTTTAATGAGTCTTTTTCTCTTTAATAAATTATTATCATAAGAGCCCTATTTTGCAGTACAGACTATATAATATATTGAAAAATAGGGTCTTTGGATAAGTAAGGCCCAATACCAAGAAGCCTCCCCAATCTAAAAGTAACTTATTTGCAATTTAATATAATTCTACATAACAGTTTTTCGTTATCATAACGTACTCCAATAATTATAAGGGTAGTACTTGCAATAAATCATAAATTCTATTAGTAGTGACTACGTATTAACAGATTTCTACATTTGATTGATTTAGTTTTAAAAACAAATACAAATATTAATCAACACATTTTCGTTTTATGAAATTGTATTCTTTCAAAGCATCTAATAAGTAATCAAGATCTAATAACATACTTTATTAATACTCAAACAATACATATATACTTTCAAATTATTTATATAAAAAATAATACTTAAAATTTTAAACCTTTAAACACAACTAAAACAAAATTTTACATTTTCATAAAATTATAACTCCGCCGCGCAAGGTGCGGCGTGACTTCTTGTATATAAATAAATATATGGCCCCTTTTATATGTTATGTAAATTTGGATATATATTCATGATAATGATAATCTAAAACAAGGAAACTAGATATTAATCAAACTGGATAGTTTACCAAAATAGAGTTATAATCAATTTACATATAACATTTAAATAAAATTTTGATTATTTATCCCTTTATTAGAAATGACTGAATTTTATCTATTTTTTATTTGAGATTGTAAAAAATTAAGACATCTTAATAATTGAAATGTCAAGATTTCTTATAAAATTATTTGAATACCATTAATAAATCTTTCTTGTATATTGATTTATTAAGAATATTTAATCATAAAGAGTTATAACATTTAAAATATTAGGATATTCTATTTTTACTTTTCTCTTTTTATTTTATTTTTATTAAAGTTAATTATATTTTTATTTGAAAAGCTAAAATATATCTCAATTGTAAAAAATAAATAATTATAATTTTAAATAAAATACAGGTGTAAGTGTTGTATGTAAAATGATTCTAACTAAAAAAAATGCTCCATACGGAAAGAATTGGAAATAAAGAACAATTATGCATTAGAAATTCACAAGTTTATTGTATAAAATCATAGTGGTAAGACAATATATTAAAATCCAAACAATAATTCCACTTATTTATTATTAAACGAGTTCTGTTTCAGGCATTGTATGAAAATTAGCTAGGAACAGTAATGCTCACATTGGATAACGGTGGCTCACTTGTTTTGATGGTTGGAGTATTAGTAATATTTTCTTTTTCCATTTTTCTTCTTTTTAAAAAAAAAAAAATCTTTTTGATCAACTGGCGTATTGAGAATATTATATTGGGGAACAAACATCTCAGTTGGAAGAGTTGGCAGCGCCGCCTTAAAGTTAACTACTTGCCTGGATTGTTTGATCGATGGTCTCATACTATGAATGGGATGCACACACACCATAAGCTAATAATCAACAAACATTATATATTTCAGGACCATGATTGATGCACACCTAGATCCCACACTCGAGTGTGCACCCCCCACATAAAAAAAAAAGTTGAACTAGGTGATGGGATTTTTTTTTTTTTTTTTTTTGTTTATATCAAGAGTGCACACTCAGGTGTGAAATCCAACTGTGCACCCATCATTTTCCTATATTCCACCTCTTTCACGTCAAAAGCTTCATAAATTTAGTGTCTATCATATCAAGGAGCCTATTGTTCCCGTAGGTTTGCCACACCCAGAGGCCACTAATGAAGCCTGATCCTCATATCTGGGCTCTATGGACCTTCTTCCACATGCAAGTTTAATAATATATAGCCACAACTCTAAAGCTGTAAACAGGGA